ACAAATGAAAATTTTTTTTTATTTTTTTTGTAATAATTTTTTCAATAAAAAAAATTCTAAAAATTATTAGATGTCGGCTAACTTAATTTTCATGAAAAATAAAGCTAGATCAAAATAATACTCAGGGTATAAGATCAACTAGAGATACAAAGGTACCCAATCGATTAATAAGACAATTAAATCCCAATAAAAATTTCTACGCCTTTTTGGCTTTAGATCACTAAATTTTTCAATTTCTAAAGCTAAAAGGGCAAATATTTTTATAAATCCGCCCTTTTGGCTTTTGAAAATTTTTTTTTCATTTTTAAGCTTAGAATTTGCTTGCAAAGATTGGCAAAAAAAATTTTCTACGCCTTCTTGGCTTTAGATCACTAAATTTTGAAGTTCCTCAAGCCAAAAGGACGTATAATTATTAACATACATCTTTTGGCTTACAAAAATTTTTTTATGAAAATTAAATTACCCATTGAAAATTTTTAGAATTTCTTTATTGAAAAAATTGACATTTAGAAAACTTTAAAAATTTCAAGTGCAATTTTTAAAAAATATTTTTTTACTTACAATTTTTATTGATCAAAAAAACCAAAAATTGTCAAATGTTTGCTAATTTTAGTATCACATTTTATTTTAATTTAAAGCTTAAAATATATTAGCAATTGGCAGAAAAAAAAAAAACATTTTCTGAACAATCTTTATTTTCTCAAAAATTAAAAAAAAAAAAATCTAAAAATACCTTATCGTAGTATTCTGTCCATTTTTAACCATAACAAGACTATCCTGGTCATTAGGCTGAGCTCGCCTCATAGTTTCAAGCAAGAATGTGTTAGGCCTTGCACAGATATCTCTTGCAACCAAGCTAACATTAGTAGTAATAACTTCTGCAATTAAAAAAAACACAATAAGAAAAATAAATAACCAATTAATACCATAATAAAATTTCAAGGCTTGAGAATTATAAATTATTTTAAGATTTACAACTATTTTAATTATTAAAAATTCTTTAGTTGATTTTTTTGGGAGGGGGAAAGGGATTTCATTTTTTATAAATACTTTGTTGAGGTGACTCAATTATATAAAAAATTTTTTTTAAATAAAAAAAAAACAGTTTGATAAAAAATAAAAAAAAATCAATTTATTGAAAAACAAAATTAAACTTAAAAAAAATATATAAAAATAAAAAAAAACAAACCTTGTAACTCAAGAGTCCCCACAGGTGTCTTTTTCTTCTCATCCTCCGGATAAGTCCAGTACGACAAAGTATCTCCTTTAAGCAAGCACCAGCGCCTGCGCCAGGAGCCGCAGCCTCCAACATCTTCAAACATGGTCAAGAAACCGCGATGCTCTATCGAGATAGACAGCTGACAGGACACGTGCATCTGCAAATGTCCTTCTAGCGACGAATTGCGAGGTACCTTATTGAGCGTAAATTGCTGGCGATTGACCTCCTTTAAACTAAAGACCACATAACCAGTCAAGCTAAAAGCTGGAGAGTGTACCGCTCCAGGACCTCCTGGAGAAGGTTGCGAGGGCTTAATCAGCCGACTCTCCTGCTTGTGTTTCTTCGGCGTCTTGCCTTTTTTAGCCGAGCTGGTACTGGTGTGACTGCTGTTGTGAATATGATACTTGACCTCGTGAGGAAGAATCTCCGCTCGGGTCTCCAAGGAGTAAACCTCAACCGTGACTTTAAAATCCGAGTAAAGATTCTCGAGCTTGATTGTCGAAGGGAACCTAATTATATATTTATTTTTGTAATAATTATTTTTATTTTTATAATATAATTTACACTGATAAAAGGATTTGTTTATGGGTGATTCTCTGTAAGGATGTTTTTCACTGTCCCAGGCATTTTTTTATTAAAAAAATTGATATATTACATATATAATAATAAAAAAAAATTATTTATTAAAAATATCAATAATTAAGAAATGACCTTGTATCTTGAAAACTATTGACATTTTTAGAGATATAAGCTCATCCTGACATTACACTCATCAAGACCTTTCATTTGAGTACCCACATCAATTTTTCATATATTTTATATATATATATGAATATATAAAAAATATATCAAAATGCGTGTGGGTACTCAAATGAAAGCTCTTGATGAGTGTAACATCAGGATGAGCTTATATTTTTAAAAATATCAATAATTAAGAAATTACCTTGTATCTTGAAAACTATTGACATTTTTAGAGACATAAGCTCATCCTGACATTACACTCATCAAGACCTTTCATTTGAGTACTCACATCAATTTTTCATATACTTATATATATTATATATATATATGTATATATGAAAAATATATAAAAATGCATGTGGGTATTCGAATGAAAGCTCCCGATGAGTGTATCATCAGGATGAGCTTATATCTTTAAAAATGTCAATAGTTCCCAAGATACAGGGTCATTTCTTAATTATATATTTAGAGATAAATATTTATTAAAATTTAATAAATTAAATTATTAATAGTTAATAAATCCTTCTATCAGTATATAATCATTACTATAACACTAATAAAAAATAAATAATATACATACCTAACACAGGAGTCATTTTGGCTGACCTGGACCACCGGAGTCGCGATCACAGTATCCAAGTGTCTAATCAAGCACAAGAAGTGCAGACACATATCATTACTGCTACTAAAATGAAAATCCCGCTTAAGCGGAAGCGTCAGCGCAGAAATAGTCAGCGAGCCGCTTTCTTGCCTCGGAGAAGACCCAGGAAGCGTAGGACGAAGAGTTCCTTCAACCCGCATCCTCTGGAGCTCGTTCAAAGCCGCGTGTCTCCGGTGAGTAGCAACTAAAAGCAGCCTCTCGCCTTCAACCTGCTCTCTAGATCCACTGAACTCAATCGTCGCGGTGCATAAATTCAAAGCTTGGCTAGCTTGGCCAATTATTGTCTGCTGCTTGCAAACTTCGTCCATCAGCTGTTTAATTTTTTCCTGTACTAAAACACTCTCGCGTTTTTCTTCTTCAGTAGGTTCCTCGCAATCTGTGGACTCAACAGAGCGCGTGATTTGTCTTACTGGAGTCTTAGGAGTCTGGGACTGCTGCCTACGGTAGAAGCTCACGCTGTGCATCAACGGGACCTGGGAGTCGCCTTCTAAGACGTAGGTCTCCTTTTTTCGAGGAGAGCGCGTGGGAGTCACCTTTAAGGGGCTCTTGTAAACATTTTGGGAATATTTGAAGCTCGTTGAAGCCATTGAAGGACTGGAGCCTGCTCTGTTCTGCTTTGGAGGAGTAGGTCCATGATTTTGAGCCTCCTGAAGCGCTAAACACTCGTCTAAGTACTCGTCCATTTCATCTAGCACGGAAATATCCGAAGTAGAACTTTCGTCTGACTCAATTTGACGCTTGTTACTCTGAGATTGATTCTTGTGCGATTTTACCACGCGCATTATGCTGTTCTCGAAGCTAGTGTTGCTCTCATCGCAGTTTGTGGAAACTTCTTGGTCCAGGCCGTAGTACTCGTCCAAGTCGGTCTCGGTTGAAGTTTCAGTAGCTTCGTCTAGAGTTGCAGTCTCTGCTTCTGTGGTGCCGAGGGTGTATTCGGAGTCTGTTTCAGTTTCGGTTCCTGAGGACTCGATTGTGGTTAAATCCGGGTAAAGATTGCCAGGTTTTGGCGGAGACACTTTTATACGCTTGACGTTGGAGAGAATTGTACGAGCAACTTGCGGAGCTGGGGTCTTTGGGGCTACTTGGCGCTTTGTTGAACGCGATTCTGGAGTTGGAAGTGGCGGCGGTGGAGGCGGTGCTTGTTCCTGAAGAAATTTTTTTTTATTAATAAAAATATGTGTTAATTTTTTTTTTTTAGTTAAATTTAGAGTCATTGCAAAGGTCTTGACTTGAATTAGTGTCTTTTCAAAATATATCATTCTTGACGATAGTCGATTTATTATGATAAATATTTAGGCTGCATTTAAAAAAAAATCTCTAGATACACAATGAAGAAATGACCTTGTATCTTGTAAACTATTGACATTTTTAAAGATATAAGCTCATCCTGATGTTACACTCATTGAGACCTTTCATTTGAGTACCCACATCAATTTTTCATATATTTATATATATTATATGTATGTATATATGAAAAATATATCAAAATGCATGTGGGTACTCAAATGAAAGGTCTTAATGAGTGTAACATCAAGATGAGCTTATACCTTTAAAAATATCAATAATTAAGAAAAGTACAATGCAATTTAACAAAATTCATTGTTTAATAAAGCAAGTTCGCTAGTAATCTTTAATGTTAAAAGCTGGAAACCAGGGTTTTAGTTACGGTAAAGAAGACGACATGATATTTGAAGTTTACATACATATAAATTATATTCGGAAAAATTCATTTAGACTTCATTCGAAAATACTCTAGTTCTAGATACATAATTAAGAAATGACCTTTTATCTTGTGAAATATTAACATTTTTAAAGATATACGCTTATCCCGATGGTACACTCATCGAGAGCTTTCATTTGAGTACCCACATCAATTTTTTGTATATTTACATATATGTATGTATATATGAAAAATTGATGTGGGTACTCAAATGAAAGCTCTTGATGAGTGTAAGATCAGGATGAGCTTATATCTTTAAAAACGTCAATATTAAAGAAAATACAGTGCAATTTAACATAACATGTCATTATTTAATAAAGCAAAATTTTCTTTATTTATAGTTCACAAATCGTGTCAGCCACATAGTGACTTCAAGGTTACTTGTTATTATTATTACTGTTTTCATTATTATTATTTTTTTTTTTCATCAAAATAATATAAAAATAATTTTTTTTTAAATCAGAACTCTTAAATTTAAAAAATTTTTTCAGAAGTATTAGAGTTTGAATTTTGGTTTAAAGGAAATTAAAAAAAAATAGCCTATTTTTAAACAAATTAAAAATAAATAAATATTAAAGAATAATTACAGTAGCTGGCGTAGGTTTAACCGGACAAACTGGTGAATTTTTTGGCGAGCCATTATTTTCACTATTATTCCTGGGTCTTATACAAGACTCTGCAGCAGCTTGAGCTGACTCTTTATTCTTATTAAAGCGAGATCTTAACATCTCTAATTCTTTTTTTCTTTCAGTTTGCGTGTCACGCAAAATATCATTCTCTAGCTCTTGTTTGGGTAACCCTTGTTCAAACAGAGCGCGCTTATTCTGAGTGCTTTTATTGCCTTCAACTCTTCTGTAATCTATAAAAAAAAAAAAAAAAAAAAAAAAAAGAAAAAAAAAAAAAAAAAAAAAAAAAAAAAATTAAATCTAGCTAATAAATCAATAAATGAATAAATAAATAAATAAAAAATTAATTACCATTACTGGTTTGATTATGAGCTTTAGAACTCTCCAGCAGCTTCTTGGTCGGGACTGGCAGCGTCAACGGAGCCTTTGGAATCAGCGCTTCCCCCTTGTTTCTCTCGAACATCGCCATCCTCTCCGAGAGTGACATCTCCGCGGGATCCTTGACCTTACCAGCTAAACTTTTGGATTCAAACAACGAAGCTTTACTCAAAACCGAACCTGGTGACTGTATTTTACTTTTGGGAGAACCACTGTAACCACCAAACCTGCTTGGCGTTCGATTTCCACTTGCTACTTCCTTCCCATTCCTCTCCGGAGTCCTCGATACCGGCGTCATCTTTTCTGGAGTCTTCGAAGTTCCGGGCCTCTCTGGAGTCTTTGAAGTTGATGGAATCGCTTTGTCTGGGGTCTTCCTCTCGAACTTCTTTTTCTCGGCTTCGGGAGCTTTTGTAGGTGACGCTTTGTACCCGAATCTTGTATTTACTTTACGCACTGGCTCTTTTGGAGCCTGAGAAAAAAAAAATATTTTTAATCAAATTTCATTTCCGGTTATTTATCTCATGATAATTTAATCTTTTTATTTTTCATACCCTGAGTATTATTTTGATCTAGCTTTATTTTTCATGAAAATTAAGTTAGCCGACATCTAATAATTTTTAGAATTTTTTTTATTGAAAAAATTATTACAAAAAAATAAAAAAAATTTTCATTTGTAAAAAACTTTAAAAACTCCAAGTGCAATTTTTAAAAAATATTTTTTAGTTCTAATTTAATGATAAAAAAATGAAAAAATTAAGAACGTCGGCTAACCTTAATATTATTTATTTCTCGAGCTTTTTGCCAATCTTTTGTAATAAAACATCTATATTTTTTCTTCGCCCTTTTGCCTTTAAAAAAATTTTTGACGTATTTTTTAAAAGTTTAGTATTCGAACTGAAATTCGACTTTAAAAATTTTTTTTTAACATTTTTAACAATAATGGCGTACCAAACAAAATTTACGCCTTTAAAAATTAATTATAAAATTATATACCTTAAATAAATAAAATAAATAAAAAATTACCACAATCGGATGCGACAAATCATCTTCCCAATTATTGATAGTAGAAGCTAGCGCGGCCAATCGGTCCAACCGAGCACCACCGACTACACTCTTCTTGGTACTTGGCTCATCACTGACTTCCTCGGCGCTGAACTTCTCTTCAGTCCGGTGTATTGGGGAGCTCAGAAGCTCTCTATTATCATCTATAACGCCCACTGACATCAGTATACGAAGCAACATCTAATTTATAAACAAACCAGTAAAAGAAATAGCCTAATAAATACCAGAATACAATTTTCCGAGTCTATCGAGCTTGGATTTGACATTAGATGCCAATGCCGATGAATTTTCTTTGTTTTCTTTAACTATCTGCTTGGGTGGTGTCTTAGCAGGGATAGTTATGTTTATGGTAGCCTCTTTCAAAGGACTACGACGTTTTATTTCATGTCCTGCGTTAGATAATTGTGTATCTAATTTTTCTCTTCTCGCCTTCGCACGTTCTAGCATTCGCTATAATTTTAATTATTTTTATTTATTTATTTATTATTTCATTTCAATGCCAAGGCAGTATAGCCAGATGACAAAAGTATACAAAAAGAGTTATAATAAAGTACACGTAAGTCTAATGAAGATATAAAGTTTAGAAAAAATTAGATATCTATTAGTTTAGAAAATATTAGATATAAAAATTGATTATTTTTTATGAAATATTATTTTCTTAATTTGGAATACAAATTTGACAAATAAAACAAAGAAAATAAATTTGAGGATAAAAAATTGAGTATTAAAAATTTAAAAAA